TGGGGGGGGGGGGGGGGGGACGGGACGGGACGACAGTGAAGTGCAGACCCGAAGCCCCAGTTTCCACAGAGCTGCCCGCATCGGCCAGCAGCCGGCCGCCAGCCCCCAGAGCCGGCTGAAAGGGCGGCTGCCTTGCCCACTTCCAGGTCACTGAGTTGCTAGGTTACAAACAGCATTACAGAACATATTAGGTGTGACAGTAATTGTCAACACACTGAATAAAATTTCAATAGTGTTCCCTAAAACAATTACCATTTTCATTCCTTAGTTTGTCTTTCATGCCATGTTATTTAAAAAAGTTTCATTTTCGGCATCTAAACTTAGTGCGAGGCTTAGCAAGGAAGCGAGATTTCTTGGATCACTTTCCTGTCAGAGAAGAGGTTCTGCCCCGTCTCCCCACGGCGCCTGGGACCCACTGTCTTTCAGAAAAGCTGGGTTTTTCCCTTCCTGCTTATTCCTCTTTCCAACGGCTGCCAACATAAATTTTATCTCCTCTCCTGACAGACAGTAGTTTTCCTAAGATTTCCAACCCGTCTGCACATTACTTCACAAGCTGCCACTGGACCGCCAGAGGCTCCTGGTGAGGCTGACTCACTGTCCGTCCGCAGCAGCGAGCCCTCGGGGGAGCGTCTATTTCTCTGCCTCGGCTCAGCAGCACTTGTCCTCCCAGGAGACACACCTGCAGGGAGCCCTCCCGCACCCACAGTGCACCTGCCTGCAGAATGACGGGTGGAGGGCGCACTGCGCCCCTCTGCTCCCAGGTGCCTGCAGGAGCGGGTCGTGCAGAGCCCGCCCGCCGCCCGCCTCCTCCTGCAGAGCAGACCCTGGCCGCCAGGCTCCTGCTGACGGCTCCGAGTGAGCAACGTCCGGCTCACTTCTGAGGACGGCACCTTTCTTTCTAAAGATGGATGTGCTGCTTAAGTCGGGTTTCCGAGAGCCTCGCGGCAGAGCCTGAAGGCCGCACGTGGTGGAGGTGTGGGCATGACCTCCCGAGCGCCCGTCTCTGGCATGGAGACCGACCCCGGAGCCTACGACGGCACCCCCGTGGCGCTCAACCTGTCCCGCGTGCTGGCCGGCAGGGCACTAGCAAACCAGACAGGCGAGCTGGCGGCGCACCCGCACCCACAGTACGCCATCGGGCTCTTCCTCTCCTGCCTCTACACCGTCTTCCTCTTCCCCATCGGCTTCGTGGGGAACATCCTGATCCTGGTGGTGAACCTCAGCTCCCGGGAGAGGATGAGCATCCCCGACCTGTACTTCATCAACCTGGCGGCGGCCGACCTCATCCTGGTGGCCGACTCGCTGATCGAGGTGTTCAACCTGGACGAGCAGTACTACGACATCGCCGTGCTCTGCACCTTCATGTCCCTCTTCCTGCAGATCAACATGTACAGCAGCATCTTCTTCCTCACCTGGATGAGCTTCGACCGCTACCTCGCCCTGGCCCAGGCCATGCGCTGCGGCCTGTTCCGCACCAAGCAGCACGCCCGGCTCAGCTGCGGCCTCATCTGGATGGCCTCGGTCTCGGCCACGCTGGTGCCCTTCACCGCGGCGCACCTGCAGCACTCCGGGGACGTCTGCTTCTGCTTCGCAGACGTCAAGGAGATCCAGTGGCTGGAGGTCACCTTGGGCTTCATCATCCCCTTCGCCATCATCGGCCTCTGCTACTCGCTCATCGCCCGGGTCCTCGTCAAGGCCCACAGGCGCCGGGGCCTGCGCCCGCGCCGGCAGAAGGCGCTCCGCATGATCCTGGCCGTGGTCCTCGTCTTCTTCATCTGCTGGCTGCCCGAGAACGTGTTCATCAGCGTGCACCTCCTGCAGCAGGCGCAGCCGGGCGCCGAGCCCTGCCAACAGTCTTTCCGCCACGCCTACCCCCTAACCGGCCACATTGTCAACCTCGCAGCTTTCTCCAACAGCTGCCTGAACCCCCTCATCTACAGCTTCCTTGGGGAGACCTTCAGATTCAAGCTGCGTCTGTACATGGAGCAGAGAACAAGCGTGTCGGCCCTGAATCGCTTCTGCCACGCGGCCCTGAAGGCCGTCATTCCGGATGCCGAGCAGCCAGAGGTGAGGTTCAGCAGCGTGGCGTGAGGGGAGCTGCTCCCGCACTCAGCACCGCCCGGGCGAGGGCACCGAGGGGGTCAGGGCATGCCAGGGCCTCTCCCAGCTGGAGTGCTGCCACCCTCGGGCTCTCAGTCACTTGCACCAGCTGCTGCAGAGCTGGGCCACCACCGTGCTCCCGATGGCAGTCACGGATGCTACAGGCCTGGGACCCGCGTGGCCCTCTCCGCGCAGACTGTCTCACGGCAGCAACAAGGAGGGCGCTTTGGTGGAGCGCCTTCGTGCCAGGCAGCTCGCGAGGAGCCTGCCCCTCAGGAGAAATGGAGCCTGAGGCTGAGCTGACACTGCCCCGTCCGTGTCCGCACGCTGCGTGCGTGCCCAGTGCCTTTGGTCCCCAGGTGAGAGTGACACCTGTGTGCTCAGGCTGCCTGGGCACCATCGCTCCCTCCATTCCATCTGGACGCAGCATCTCTGCAGCAGCGGAGTGGAGGGGCCCCGAGGGCGGCTCCGGGCACACGGCGAGACGCTCCAGCTCGCGGGGACAGTGGAGCAGTGAGGACGCCGTGAGAACAGTTCTGGGTAAAATGTGAAGAGGTAACACCAGTGGTGGCTGGCACTGCTCAGCTCTGTGCTGGTGCCTCCAGGTTCTTGAAGCAGCTCCCTCCCGGGGCGGGTGGGGCTCACAGAGCCCCGTAAAGTCTCCTTCGCGATGCGGCTCCTCACTCACGTGAGAGCTCTTAGCGGCCAACATCTCACCGCAGCCCTGGACACGGCGGCATCTCTGGGGGTCTGAGCCCTGCTGCACCATCCTTGGGCAGAATGTTCCACGCGGCCTCACTCTTCTAGAAGGTTCTGGCTGTCAGCACAAGCACAACCCGCAGTCCTGCAGGGACAGCTGCAACTCCGGGCAGGCAGCGAGTCCGCAGGCGGGGTCCCGAGAAGTGGGCAGGTCTGTCCATCAGGTGGGGTGGCCCCAGGACAGCAGCGGGGCCCCCACAGGCTGCCCCGGATGCACTGAACCAGCTTCCGGGAGCATGAGGCCTGGGAGAGCCCCGTAAAAGGTCCGGGGTGTCTGACAGTCCCTGCCCCTCCCCCCATCGGACGGGCAGGTGAGTGCGTGCTCACGCCTGCAGCTGCAGCTGTCACACACCCAGAAAACATCAGCTCTCCAACAGATCTGACTCCTGCTGTTGAGCAGTGAGTGCGGATCCCGCCTGGAAATACCAGTTTAAAAGCCAAGGGAATGCAGGTCACCAGACGGACTGATCCCAAGGGTCCTCCTGGGTGGCCTCCACCGAGCGCTTATCGCAGGATGCTAGCTGCGACTCGAGGTGACGAGAGCCCCCGGGGTGGCAGCGTCCTTGCACACAGAGAGCCTGTGCACCCCTCAACGCCCCCGCACAGCTATGAATGAGCTGGTCCTCGGGCCGTTTCCCGCCCTGCGTCCCCTGGGAGGAATGGGCTGTCCCGAGTCTGTGGTTCCTGTGGCCCTTGCACAGGCTCTGAAGGAAGATGCGCGGACTCAGTCTCGCAGAGCCGCCACCTGGATCCAGGTGAGTCGCCCAGGCCCCAGGAGACTGGGTCCTCCAGGGAAGTCACTGCTTCAACAAACAAGAGACGGGGGACATCCTCCTGAGACCCGGCCCAGCATGGAACACTCCGTCCCTGGCCAACAACATGGCATTTTTCTTTGCTGACTCAACAATGCAAACGGCCCAGGAACGGAGAAAACCCCAGCAGGCCACTGTCTCAGAGGACACTGGTCTCATCGAGCAGCTCCTTCCAAGAAACGGAGTTAAATGCAAAGGTCCTCCCTTGCCACAACAGCGCTCTCCCCCACAGCAGCGCCCGAGCTGCCCGAGGGGAGACCTGCTTCCGGGCTCCCCGAGTCCCTTTCTAAGTCCCCTGAGTCTCACAATTCCATCCCCTACCCGACCCCGGGCGAGGGCGGCTCAGACAGCACATGTCCAATCCCCCTTAAAGCCGAGCGCCTAAAAGGACGGACTCCCACCCGAGCTGGTGTGGCTCAGTGGATAGAGCGTTGGCCTGCAGACGGAAGGGTCCCGTGTTCGATTCTGGTCAAGGGCACAGGCCCGGGTTGCGGGCTCGTTCCCCAGTGTGGGGCGTGCAGGAGGCGGCTGATCCATGATTCTCTCTCATCATTGATGTTTCTCTCTCTCCCTCCCTCTCCCTTCCTCTCTGAAATCAATAAAATATACTAAAAAATAAATAAATAAAATGATGGACTCCCACACCAAATCTGGCAGGAAGCTCAAAACCGGGCCAGTGACTGCACGCCAAAGCACGGTGCCCGAGGACGCTGTCCTCACCACACTCCCCAGACCCAAGGCCCAGAGAGCTGCGCTCTGCGCGGCCACCGGACCGTGGGAGCCCACAGGACCCTCCTGGGACGGGAGAGAAACACAGGAGCCAAGAGTGAATGCGAGGCCCTGGAGGAGGCAGATTCACAGACAGGAGGGGGGAGGCGGGAGCCAGGGCCTGGGCAGCGAGTGCTCACGGGGACAGTCTGTTTGGGAAGATGAGAAAGTTCTGGAGACGGTGGTGGTGACGGATGCACAACAATGTGAACGTGCTCACTGCCACGGAACGCTACGTCGAAGAATGGCTAAAAGGGCCCTCGCCGGTGTGGCTCAGTGGATAGGGCATCGGCCTGCGGACTGAAGGGTCCCGGGTTTGATTCTGGTCAAGAGCACATGCCTGGGCTGTGGGCTCGGTCAGACGTGCAGGAGGCAGCCAGGCAATGATTCCCTCTCATCACTGATGTTTTTCTCTCTCTTCCTCTCCCTTCCCCTCTGAAATCAGTGAAAACATATTTAAAGAAAAAAATGGCTAAAAGAGTTCATTTTATGTTGGGTGCATTTTATGACAATAAAAGAAAAAAGTGAGAACAGGATTTTGCCTAAGCAAGGGAGCAGTGGGAGGCTGTGGATGGGGGAGCCCACGCGAGGCGCTCAGTGGACACCGAGCTTCGGGGGGCCTCGGGGGGCCCACCGCGAGGCGCTCAGTGGACGTGGAGTTTCGGGGGGCCTCATGGGAGCCCACGCGAGGTGCTCAGTGGACGTGGAGTTTCGGGGGGCCTCGGGGGGCGGGAGCCAGGGCCTGGGCAGCGAGTGCTCACGGGGACAGTCTGTTTGGGAAGATGAGAAAGTTCTGGAGACGGTGGTGGTGACGGATGCACAACAATGTGAACGTGCTCACTGCCACGGAACGCTACGTCGAAGAATGGCTAAAAGGGCCCTCGCCGGTGTGGCTCAGTGGATAGGGCATCGGCCTGCGGACTGAAGGGTCCCGGGTTTGATTCTGGTCAAGAGCACATGCCTGGGCTGTGGGCTCGGTCAGACGTGCAGGAGGCAGCCAGGCAATGATTCCCTCTCATCACTGATGTTTTTCTCTCTCTTCCTCTCCCTTCCCCTCTGAAATCAGTGAAAACATATTTAAAGAAAAAAATGGCTAAAAGAGTTCATTTTATGTTGGGTGCATTTTATGACAATAAAAGAAAAAAGTGAGAACAGGATTTTGCCTAAGCAAGGGAGCAGTGGGAGGCTGTGGATGGGGGAGCCCACGCGAGGCGCTCAGTGGACACCGAGCTTCGGGGGGCCTCGGGGGGCCCACCGCGAGGTGCTCAGTGGACGTGGAGTTTCGGGGGGCCTCGGGGGGCCCACCGCGAGGCGCTCAGTGGACACCGAGCTTCGGGGGGCCTCTGGCTGGGCGCAGGAGGAGCAGCTGCTAGAGCTGTGAGGGCAGGAGGCTGGTGTGGGTTCTGACTCCACAGCCAGACGCTCCTCAGAACCCCCAGGCTTTTAGAGCAGCAACACGAGCAAAGACTGAGCCATGAACTGCTCGTTCCCACAGACGCAGCGGCCCCACCGCTTGGTGCCGGGCGACCCAGCGCTTGTTCCGGCCGCTCCTGCTGTTTCACATCCCCTCCTGGCGCCCCCGGTGCCCCCACTGAATGTTC